GTATTTTTCATGCCTATAAATGTTATATATTAAATAAATTGAGTAGGGCAGTTTACCCTCTGCAACTCGCATCTCTCGTCTGCTCGTATTAATGGATGTCTGAAATACAAGCGTCTGAAATTCTTCTCGTATCCAACTTTTAGGTCGACAAGACAAGTACGAAATCAATTAGGATATGTTTTATAAGCGCTAATATCGTTCGATAATACAGGAGTCAGACAAATAAGTACTAAAATGTAACAGTACGTGGTACAATCTCAAGGCTCTAACAATCGGTAGTGGGAAACTAGTTCGTCTTTGATTAGATTTCTTCGTGTCTAATACATTAAAAGCAGTGAAACAACAAACCTGTGGATTTATTACCCAGACAAACTCAAAAAATGGACTACAACACATTAGTCAGTCAGTCAGCTACAACGTAGGACCAGGCACAAATGTGTATCGGTTCAAGTTGCCATACCTCAGTAGCACAGCAAGGTGAATACTGGATTCATAGAAGTAGTTAATTCCGTGGTGATAATATATAAAAGAAAAATTGCAATAAGGATATAGTACATGAAGAAGGAATTAGTTCGTAGAAAGAAAGATACGAAGCGATTTCAATCTCATAGCTTAAGGGAAGACAGAGAGTATATACATCGACGCCATTTGTGATCAATTCTGAGCCTTGTCACCAAGTCTCCAACCAGTGGCTACGATAGTCACGCGGATCCAAACCAAGTAGCCTGCATCTACCAAAATGGCTCAGACCAGAGGTTAGTGACTTCAAGCACTGATATCACGTTTTGGTTTGGCCGCCCCTAACTTTCTCCCAACCATCCCCAGCACCAGTTAGCATTGCGCGTCGTGGTAATCGGTGTTCAGGCATACGCAACTACATATCTAGAAATACTTTCGAACTTGAAGGAGATAAATTAACATATGGTCCTTGGTACTTGTTAATGTGTCAGAAAACAAGTGTATTCACATCTGTGCATTTTTGCACATTATGTAAGCATACTTCCACTGTGTAGTAGTCGCAACAATGCTGAATATAATCAGATGATTAATATGGCTCAATTGGGAACCGTTTGATGTAAACAATTCTTAAGTATTGGCTAATTATAAATGTACCAAATAGACATCAGTCAGGACAATAATAGGAGAAAAACCCTCTATCTAACCGATTTTGAAAATTCCCTTCTTATTACTGACTCAAAGTGAGAAGTTTCTTGTCGGATTTGCCAAAACTAAAATAAGAAAGTCGAACTGAATGCAATGGCTAACGTTACCTTTATGATTAAAGACAGAAAGAAACATAAGTGAACTAATTTAGATTGGAAAATGAATTCGTCGTCGGCCGCAAGTGTACCATCATAATGTAATAGCTAAATACGGTACAGCTAATTGACAACAGTGATGTTTTGACACTGTCTAAACGAACGTCACAACCATCGCGATATTTGCTCTTAAAAATGGACAGTGAACTCGCATACAATAAGCAATTGTATGCAAAGTGAAATACTAACAAAGCGAAACCAAACATTAAGAACATAAGTTATGATATCAGTAGCAAACATGTTTGCAGGAAAACAAATATACCTGATGAATCATTATAAATTTGGGGGGAGTTTTCAGATGAATCGTCAGGTTTCCTACTCTAAAGTGTTTGGTGAATAGCCTTTCAATGTTTGCTGATATCTGAAACATTTTCAATATTCAGTAGGAGCTAACACGTCAAAAACCTTCCACAAAAATGCCGTGAGCGACTGGCTCTTTGGTCTTGCTTCCAGGTCGTCAAGATCAACATTAATCCAATTTCTTTTTCAGGCTCCTCAAGAAATACCCTTTCACGGTGTGGGCAGCCGGGAAGTGACATCAGCCCTCATACCCGTAACAGCACACGATACCTAGTTGGTCACATTCAAATCCTTCCTATACCTCCTAATACCTCTCTTATCTCCAGGACTAACCCTCCTCACGTCTCTTTATCACCTCGCACCGCTAGGGCAAACGATTCGAGTACGTGAAACGCTATTGCTGGTCTCCTGAAACCACGTTCTAAACTACACGGAGGAGCTTTTAACGTCCGAACACTGCCAAATAGGACGGCAGGCTTCCTTAGCTCGGACTTTAGAATCCCGCGTCATCGATGTGTGCTGCGTCTCCGAAACGCGCATACTGGATCCGAGTAGCGTCATTCATCTGACCTCACCATGTCAAAATAAAGAACCGACTCGATTCACATTTCATGTATCTGGAAGCCCTGATTCTGCTTCCCGTGGCCTCGCCGGCGGAGTCAGCTTAAGAGCAAGCTGACAAGAAGTCTACGCAATGATCGCGAACAGTGGTGGGTAGCGAAAGCAAGAGAGATGGAGAAGGCAGCGGCAATAGGTAATAGAAGACAATTGTTCAGACTCATTAAGGAAACCGGAATTAAGAACCCGACTGTTAGCGAAACACTCTCAAAGAAAGATGGACATATTATACACTCTCAATCCAGGAGATTGGATCGATGGGCAGAACACTTCAGGGATCAGTTCAACTGGCCTTCAGCCACACTTCGGTTTCGCACGATCTCTTGTCAACATGAATGACAAGTCAATGTAAGTCCTCCGTCCATTTACGAAGTTGAGAAAGCCATAGGAAATCTGAAACGAGGGAGAGCAGCAGGCCCTGACAGGTTTACTCCTGAGATTTTTAAGGATGGTGGTCCAGTATTAGCAGTGAGATTAACTGAGGTCTTAGGCAGAATTCGGGAACTGGACGTAATCCCATCTGACTGGTCTCAATCACTGATTGTGCCAGTCTATAAGAAAGGACAAAAGTCCTCTTATGACAATCACAGAGGAATCAGTTTGACTAATATAGTGTCTAAAATATTAGCTTCAATAATACTTCGACGCCTAATCAAAGCTCGTGAAGAGCAGATTAGAGAAAACCAGGCCGGTTTTCGACCTGGACGTGGTTGTATAGATCAGATATTCACACTAAGTCAGGTTCTGGGAGTTGGACGTCTACTGAATCTTTCATCGGTTCAGCTACACTCTGTACAAACCTTTCCTGTCACCGATAATAGTGTGATGCTTCTGCAGTACTCAAACTTGATCAGATATGCTTTCTCTGTATATTGTTCTTCCTTCAAAATCATCCTGTATAAAACATGGAGCATGTTAGCGGTTGCTTCTATGTTCAATTGCAGTGCTTTGGCTGGTATGTTGTCAGGTCGCGCCGCTTTCTTACTCTTCATTTGTCTGATGGCCATCCTGATTTCTACCATCGTTTTACAGTGACAGGTATACGATGGTCTGTCGGTGTTGTTTCTATGTCCTGTAGATTCAATGTCGCCGGTCTATTCAAGACTTCCTTCAAGTACTCTCCACCGTATGTTCATCAGTTCTTCTATCTCGGTGACAGGCTTACCATCTTCGTGCTTGACTGATCTCTCTGGTTCACTGTATTTCCCTAACAGGTTCTTCGTCGTATCACATAGTTGTTTCATATTGCCTTCTCTTGCAACTTTCTCCGCTGTCATTGATAGATCTTCCACATATTTCTGCTTGTCAGACCGGATGCTCCCCTTCATTTGCTTGATTGCTTCTTTGAATTCGGCTTGTGAATTGACTTGCCCCGTTCTTGTTCGGCTGTTTTCAATTGCTGTCTTCTTCTTCTTCCTTTCTTGAATCCTGTCCAGAGTTTCCACAGAGACCCATTCCTCATGATGATGCTTCTTGTGACCCAGAACCACTTGACACGTTGTAGTTAGTGCCTCTTTCACTCCTTTCCTCCATAGTAGTTTCTTCGCCTTTGAGTAGATCTTGTAACGCTTGAAACCTGTTGTTGAGAGCCATCTTGAATTCGTTGAATTTTTCATTATCTCGAAAAAGGGTCTGTTGACTCTTCCTAATGTTATTTGTCCAGTTGCCCAGTGCTTCTTTAGCTTCAGCCTCATCCTGGCAACCACCAGCTAGCGTTGATCTCAAGCTATGTCAGCTCCTCTCATGGTTCACACGTCTCCTATTGACCTTCTGAATCTTTAAGTGATGCAAATATGGTAGATCTGGTTCTGTGTAGTTTAACCTGATTGAACACATGTAGCTTTGTGTATGCGTTTGCGTGGAAATACTGTGCCGCCTATAACCATTTTGTTGAACGCACATAGATTTGCAACTCTCTCATCATTCTCGTTCCTTTCGCCAAGTCGCTCTATGTCATCCCATGATATCTTCATATCCGGTGTTGTCCACTCCAACTTTCGCGTTTAGATCTCTCATCAAGATGGTCAGTTCCTTTCTTCAGCACTACACTATGATCAATCGCAACCTCTCGTAAAACTTATCTTTATTATCCCCATTGCTTTCATTGGTGGGTGCATGACACTGGATAACATTTGTTGTGATTCCTTCTTTCTTTGTTTTAAAAGATGATTTGATGTTCCTTGATCCATCAGATTCCCTTCCTGTATGTGCTTTCCGTTCTTCTTTGGGCAACATCATAGCAATTCACTGAGTGTACAGGGCGTTCTCCTGTTTCTACCCTGAATACAGCAGCATCTCTTCCGTACAATACCTTTGCTATCTAGTTCGAATTTAATGGGTTTCGCTGGTTTCACCTAGTTTTTCCCCCTCATTTTCGTAGCTACTTGGTTGACCTTCCGGTTTCCCATATTGTCTGAACATTCCGTGCCTTTATTGTAACGGAAGGAGGACGCTGAATTTCCGCCAAAAGTATTTTTGTTGGACAGTACTGTCATTTATTTGTTTCTTTTCACTGTCATGTATTTTAACCTTTGTTCAGATATTTTTTGACCACAATTCGCGTTCTTAAGTCTTCCTCGTCTGACGTTTTATCATGTGACTTTGATTAAAGATAAAATGAGGTCACGAGTAGTGGCTAGTTAAATAAACACGCTACTTCTGTTTACTAAAGTTGTAGTCATCATGAACAAGTCATGCTTAAATCTTAGCGAACTCCATACTGATCAGTATATAGATACCGAGGAAAAAATTGTTGCTTTGGAGATGCACTTATCGGACCCTTTTTCAGATCGTTATGTTGAAAGTCTTCTTGATGTGGTTGTGGCATGTGCCACAGAATGTACAAAAACTGTGAAAAACGTGAAAAATGAGAACATGTTAGCATTTTTACAAAGATTTATCACTGTGGCGGTATGTTTACTGTCATATCGTCGTAAACCGGAAGATTTTTCACTTATCAGTTCATTAGGTCATGGCGCATTTGGTCGTGTTCAACTAGTTCTTGAAATTACAGCAGGTTGTGTATGTGCGATGAAAGTATTGAACAAATCTCGAATGCTTGCACAACACACAGATTATTGGGCCAAAAAAGAAATTATGTCACATGGTTAAAGTCCGCGGATTGTAGAATTATATTATGCTTATCAAGATTTAAAAAATTTGTATATGGTTATGGAATATGTTCCCGGCGATAATCTTGCCAGTTGGATGGATGAAGTGGAGTTCATGTCAGAAGCAGCTTGTCGATTTTATGCAGCTGAAACAATTCTTGCTTTAATTGATCTACATGCAATGGGATTTATTCATCGTGATTTAAAATCGGACAATTTATTATTAGATGCCGGTGGTCATTTAAAATTAGCTGATTCCGGTACTGCTATACGTGTTGATCCGGAAACTTGATTAATTCACTGTGACGCAGCTGTTGGAACGTCAGATTATTTCAGTCCAGAAGTTCTTTTATCAAAGGGAATTGGTTATGGGAGTTATGGATTCAAAGTGGGTTGGTGGGCATTTGGTGTTGTTATTTAAGAAATGCTTTATGGTGTTACACCATTCTATTCAGAAACATTGGTCAATACTTATGCTAATATTGTGAATCATGCAAATAATTTGAAATTCTTTTAAAATGTTAATGTTTCCGATGCTTGTTTGGACTTTATAAAGATTTATCTTTTGTCACCCAATGTTTTATTGCATGTTGCCGGACTATTGACAGTATGGTTATGTTTGACTAAGCTCAAGGTTATGGTGTGGTTCAGTGTGTGACTGTTAACCTTTAACTGTTTGCTTGGGAGGATTAATGAAATCCCTGCAGATAGATCTCCGATCACATCTTGTTGTGAGTGTATTTACTGACTATCAGCTATTGAAATCCCTTGTACGAACTGTTTCTTTTGTTGTTTAGCACGCTAATTTGTGTTGGAGAAACTTTTGATTGTATAGTACAGGTTGTACCGTTTGGGGTATTTTGTATTTTGATATAATTTTTCTATTTCCTAAACTAGAGTAGTTTAAACTTAGCACAGAGTTTGTGTTTGATATAATTTTTATAGGAGTAACACAAAAACGCTTCGTACGCCATACAGAAAAACGTAGTCTGGTCTAATCGAATAAATTTGGGTTCGTTAGTTCTGCGTCCAAACCGAATATTGGCAGTTCAGTCGTAACACTTATATTAATTTTTGCTCTGGTTGTTTGAAGGGTCATCCGACTCGTGAATCCTGACGAATCTCGGTTCTCTCCATGGGGTGTCATAATTCTTCCTTCAACCCCAAGGACAGATTTTAAATGATTTAAAATGTTTATCTTGGTTAGTGTTTTTCTTTCAAGGTTGTTTTTTAATGTATGAGGATTCAGAACCCACTCTCGAGCCCCCTCATTTACTCGAGCGTTGGTCGGTAGTCGTAGCTCTAGTATAACTACAGGAGGAGTTAAATCTTAACTACAGTCAAAGAATAAACGCTGAGAGTGAGAATGATGGACGATATAAAACGTCGTTACAAGAGTCTCGGGTCAAAAGTAAGGTACAATATCGGAGGACAGAATGAAGAAATAAAAATACCGTCAAAAAACACTGTAGATGTGTACCTACCAAGTAGGATATGGTAGACTTTGTTTCCAAAGAGACTAGGCTTGACATCAGTGATGTAATAGTATGAAGGGAAAGTCAAGACACCCCAAAGAGATCTAAGGTGTAATGGCCGTTTTCCGATGTCAAACTGGGTCCTGACCTCCATCTATTAGAACTAAAGAGAGTGACTGTCATAAAATCCGAAGTTGACGAATCCATAAATTTTCAGATATCATCGAAGCGGAACGTTACGGATTTGACTTCACAGTATTATCATAAGTTAAGATATATTGGTTGTACACAGATAATGGTAGCAATCAGAAAAACGTTTTGGGTAATAATAGGGGACAAGTCATGAAAAGGTTGGTGAGAAATTATGCTTATTGCAAAAGAAAGGACGTCTGTCCTGTTCAGCGACTGTTTGGACTATCACCATCGGTCATATTGACCAACCGTTTTATCAGTTGGGGCAGTTAACTTTCGACCGATCATGGTAAGGAAAGGCAGAAGTCTCGAGACTCGCTACAGATGTGTATTTACTTGTCTAAGATTGAGAGCTATGAATCAAAAGATGGTGTACAGTTTTACTGCTGACTAGTTCACCAAAACGCTGGTAAGGTTTTATGGCAGCGGAAACTGTTTAAGATAGATATATAGTGCTAATGGATAAAAGTCGGTCGGAACTGAACGTTATTTAGGAAGATGTTCTTGAGGTTGGATACAAAAGCACATACATACTGACTTATTCAAAGAAGGCGTTGGCTGGCATTTCAGTCTCGCAGCTGATAATCACTAAAGAGGAGTCTAAGAACTCAAAGTTCACTCTGTTTTTAGGGTACTACGTACCTTAGTTAATGAATAGACTTTAGCAGATGATTACCTTGAAACATTCATGCTAGAGCCCAGATGTAATGATAACAGTCTGTCCCTGTTTAATATTACAGATGACACGAATGATCTCATAGGTATAAACCAACTATGCTGAGTGACGGGAGAACTGTAGACATTTGGTTGTCTTAAAGAATTTTATATTATTATTTTTATATTAATAATTTTACTGTTTTGCGTGTATTTGTTTTAATCAACTTTTGAAATTGTTTGTTTATATCATTAATTTTGGACATTTTGGTTTCTCTTTGTCATTGATTTGGTATTTTGGAGTTTTTGTTCTGGGAACCTACAAAATTGAAGGCTTGTTTTGTAATTGTCATAATTATTGTTGTTGTTAGAACGACATTTGGGTCGACTATTTGTAAATTGCGAATAAACTTTGATATCTAAATTGGAGTTTGGTTCTATTGTTCATTTGGGTTCGTTAATTGAAAATAGATCTATATACCGTACTTCAATAACGGGAACGAGCAAAGACTTCGACGTAACATGCTGTAACTAAGACTGGACTTATCCTATCTACCAATAATTGGATAATATGATTTATGTGGATAATTAGGGATCAACACAGCTAGCTCTGAATAAGATCTCTCCATGAACTAAGCTTCCTTTTGAATACACACAAGCTAACAGTTTTAGCGAACATGTTCCAGTTTTTAACAGTTCACTGCAAAAGTAGTCAAATTCGTAATCATTTTGCATAAAGCTTTGAAGTGCTGTTTGGAAATCCACGGAACAAACTAAATAAATCGTAAATCCTCAATTAAGCTAACAGTCACAATCCTGAAGTACGATCAGAGAAATAGGCTTCATGAAGTTGCTCTTGCACCACCTAAAACGTGGGGGCTCCCTAGCTGATAGCCACCATCTTGTCAGCTAATCTGTCTAGATGACTTAACTATAACGTTTAGTGCAATGCAGATTGTCATCAAAATTGAGACCATCATTGAGCCTTGCAGGTTGCCGGACAACCGCTCGTTAATAAATCTAAGTATACATCAAAAAATCTAGAGAATTATGGTCTAGTTTGTTATAAGTACTGCCATAATACCAGAAATAATCCTAAAATTGTATATTTGTCACGTTGTGACTATAATAATACTTTATTCTCAAATAACATTTTGTTACATGAGGCATGCTAGTTTACAGGCAAGATTACCCTGTTACAAAATGTACAGTGTTCAATGTAACAAATTACTCAGCTAGGTTGATATTTTATAAGATATGAATTTAGATGGTTTCTGTAAGAATCGTATTGTCAATATCACAGTCGGCGAGCTTCATGAAGGCTGCGTTGCGACGTGCAACTGATGGTCCAGAATAGCCCTTTGTGAAGCTGGTGGCTTCTAGAAACCTAAACCTTATATCCCTTTGGAAGATCTGAGGCTTTGCTGATGGTTTAGGACGAAGTCACCCGTTTCATATGTGTTTTCGGTGGCATATCTCAAAAGGGCTGAAGACGGGTGAAAGGAAAAGAAACGACGAGAAGTAGAGAAATAGTTAAGATATGACTACTCAGTCTAATTCTCTTTCATTAAGGTAATTATTAAGCAACAGCATTCTAATATGTCAAAGAAAATAGGTGTAAACAATGTATGAGTGGATAAAGAACTTCATAAATAAAGGTAGTTCAAACAGAAGCTGGAAATATGGGATTGTGTGTTTTTATAAAATATAGTGCTGAAAAAATATTCTGATACACAAATGGCTGTCTCCCTTTTTGTCAGAGCTATTTGAGCCCAACAATTCTGTAGATTTTATAGGAGCTTGAACAGGCTTTGTTTTTAGCGAATTGTCTAGTTTGCTTGTAATAGGATCAATCGGTAGGAAGCGAAACCAGTTCAACGTCACAAACACGATTTAATGAGGTATTTTATATAATAAATCAGCATCAATACCATTAGCCCGTGACATCCCAAGTGATCATTAGGATCCGTAATTCGACAAAATATTCTGCCCTACACACATGGGTGGATTGAATTAATCTCCCCACCATCATGTTTGCTGGTCAGTAAGGCCACCCTCTCTCCTTTTGTGATGTTAGGCTCTTTTACGTTCGTGGTAAGTGTGAATTCTGCTTCAATCAAAGCCCATAGTTAGAATGCACTGTCTCTACTAGTTCCATATTATGAGCAAATCAGATAGTTAAAGCATTTGTATTATTGACCAGATGTCCATTCAATATATCACACTGTTATGAAGATAACTAAAGGTGAAATTAAAAAAAAACAGACTAGATTATATGTGGTTTAACGATGCTGAGGACTGATAGTAGATCAAAGGATATGAAAGATTATAAGATTGTAAACTTCTGAAGATAAGAAAAAAACATTGAGCAAGTCACAAAGATTTAGGACATTTTGAGCTTCTTATGATCGGCCTTGGTTGATCAGCCTTCATTTCATTCCAAACATAATTTATTCCTAAACATCCAAAGTCTATAATAACAAATTATCCTAAGTTACACTTAAACAAATTAACTTCTCGGATTCAGTTCATCTTCACCACACACATATATTTGATTATCCTTTGTAATTAATTGTGACTTTCACAGCACCATTATAAATTATTATTGCACAAAAGTTTATACTAATATCAAATTTTACTCTATATACCATCACATAAGTCTACATGCATTTATTCGAGTTCATTAAAGACTTATTTCCAAATTGTTGGTATACTTCAGAGTTCGATATTCACTACACTATTATTATTAACTCCGCCTTGCGTTCCTCCAGGGTCTACTGCCGGACCCAAGCCTGGATAAAGGAGGAGGGTTGGGCATAAAGTTAGCGTCCCTATCCCGTAGAAAAATAACTCGCTAAGAAACGCCAACCAGAAAAAAGTATTCAAACCCTTTAAACTCTGCCCTGGGAGTCACAAGGTCACCATTAAGAGGAACTATGACGCTTCATGATGAAAGCCGAATTCATTCGGA